AAAAAAAAAAAAAAAAAAAAAAGCAAGCAGCAGTTTACGGCCTTCGTGGTTATCAGGCGCGCTAACCAAATTGCACTGTTCTGCTTTCCCCCCATATCTTGACTACACTTTTTCAGAGTCCAAGAGGTGCAAACTCAGAACTGTCTTCAACAAGATCATGGAGTGGCATGTTAAAACTTTCTGAGGCTTCCATAGGAGTCATCCACGGAGGTAGCAAAACAAAGAACGACGTCATCTTCCGTCTGACTGGAGGCCGGGCCAGTGAGTCTTCCTGCCGACTCTGTGTGCCTGCTACCCCCAGACTACATGGTGCCTGAGAGACACAAAGCTAGAGGACAGGTCTTTAAGAAGCTGATCTGCCCTACCTGTCTTTAAGCTGTTTCTTTACCAAATCAATAGTAACGGGAGTCATCTCATTACTGGGAGTTTTGAAAGGGGCTGTATTATCTGTTTTTTGAGCTTTGCCGTCAGAGGATCCATAGGCTGTGTAACTGTAAGGAATGCCGTAGGATGAGCCGTAAGGCAAAGCCGGGTAAGGGTTCTGGTAGTATATATTCACTTCCGTGGGCTGGCTGGCTTGAACCTGGAAAAGAAACGGGATGTATGTGAAAACTATTAGCTTAAACTATGAATAGTATCACGCCTCAGGGTTAAAACAACATCTAAGAGCGGAAGTTATACCCACTTTCCAAATCGTGTGTACTTAAAATAACTAGAGTCCTTCAAAATCAAATAAAAGGGCTGGATGAATGTTCCAACTCTTACAGGATTCCTGGATTCCTTTCTAGTAACTTTCAGAAAAAGAGAATATCAAAGAAGAGTTGGAAGGGATATTAAAAGTAATCCAAGGCACCATGCTATCTATGGAAGACAACAGACTGCTTGCATGGCCACAATAAAGACAGGCGGAGGTGGGTGCCCGAGCCCCCCGCCCGGCCCAGGACTCCCTCTACATCCACGTCACAAAAGGGCTAAGTTTGTGCAGCTCTCCCAGCGCGCTATCCGCCAGAGACGCCGCCACCATCTAGGAAGGTGTTTCTCATCCACAGTGAAAGAGACTGATCTCTACAAAATTATTTCTAAAGAGTCAGAAAAAGTAAGCTATCCAGGAAAGACACTTTCTACCTACAGAGGTTCTTAGGCTGAGTGTGCTTTTAGAATCACCCGAGGGCTGACTAAATGGACGGCTGGACCTCCCCGTCAGAGCTTCTTTCTCGAGGCCCTGGGAGGCGGGACAGCATTTCCCACTATTCCCAGGCGGTACCTGATGCTGCCGGCTGAAGAACCACTCTGAGAAGCCCTGATCTGAGAAACTAGAAATTCTTCCATCATTTGACCATAAAGAACAAACTATAACAGTTTCTTCTAAAAGCTTCTTGGACACATACCTTTATGTAATTTTCTTAATTATGTGACTTGAGCAAATAACAAAGGTTCAACTTAATATGCAATATTTTTTAACTTTTACTTTAACAAAATAGGCAAAAAAAGTTTATTTACTTTTTCATTTTTGAAGTTTAATTCTTTAGTTCTCACCTGAGGGATATTAATTCCTTTTCTTATCTGCTCCTGTTCCCATCGGCTGAGCTCCTCATCTTGTTCCCCAGTGACTAAAGCATCGTCATCACTCCCCTCAATACCTGTAGCCAGAAGCAGCAGAGAGAAGTAAGTAACATCAGCAGAGCAGGGAAGGAAGGGATGCTATCCTGACACTTCACAGAAATTAAGCAGAACTACTGGTATTGACTCAACCCCACTAAAAACATCTACTATGATCTCCACTCTCTCGTTTGACGCTCCTGACTTTGCTTGTTATACACAGTATCCCTGGAAGCAAAAGGCAGCATTGATGTCACAGTTAAAACCTTGGAGAGGTTTCCTAACCTGTGAGCTTGACATCAGCTCAACAAAGGGAAGAACAGAGCCCAGTGCCTCCTGAGAATGCTGAGGGCCGATGACACATGTTTATGCGAGTCAAGTGCTTCGTACTGTGCCAGCCACACAGGAAGTGCTCAATGAAACATCACACTGGAGTTTTCAAAAAGTTCCAGTGAGACTCTGTAGCCTAGCAAGGACAGCCCTCTAACATCACGCAAAGTCAAATAAATGTGGGCCCTCTATTTTCACTATCAAATCACACTGAATGGCAACAGGCCTTAAAAGCAATGCACGGGGCCGGTCCCCTGCCCGCCCGGTACCTATCTCCTCGGCGATCTTCTGCCTCTGGGACTTCTCCTTCACAGAGAACACTATGCGGCGCTTCTCGTCGTCGTCCTCGTCGTCGCTGGCGTCGTTCTCGTCCTCTCGCACAAGCCGGCCCTTTCCAGGCTCGCTGTCGTGCGGAGGGAAGTCTCCCAGCTCCCGGGCCATCTGGCGCTTCTTCCTCGCAGCGTGTATGAAAGCTGCATCCGGGATTTCTCCTGGAAACGGGCGGTAGGGTTATAGATGTACCAGGGTATGAAGTTTCTGATTTCTTCAAAATGTGCTGGGTGAGATAACCTGACTGAGAAGCCTTGTCGCAGCTACGATGTCCTAATGCCAATTGCTGGCGCCCCTTCCCAAACAGCGCCCGAACCCAATGACTTAGTTTAGTTTAAATGGAAACTCAGTCACCAAGGAAATGAAAACGAACACATAAGGGCAACATGGGAAGAGCATGTGTAGGGAGATCGGGGGGATCCACCAAAAGCAGATATATTTTAACTGTAATTTTTTCATCTTCAAGTAAAACAAAAGTAATTAAATTACTAAACTAGAAAACAGATAAAAATTTAAAAGGTGCCCACACCTCACAAACCCCCAAAACACTATTAGATTCATAGTCTATTTCTCTAGCAAACAGTTCCGTTCACCTGTAAGCACACTGACTATGTAATTCTGTACCTAATTTTCATGCTAAAACATAAGTTTTTGTCCATGTTGTTGTTTTGCATAAATACAATGTTTAATGGCTCAACAACTTAACAGATAAAGCATAATCTACTACACAATTAAATTAACTGACCTTTTAACCTACAGTAAAAACTGTCTTGTCATTTGTCAGATTGTTATTTTAATAGCTATATAATATCCCTTCATGTAAATGTACCTTCATTACTAAGCCATTCCTCCCCGGCCACACATTTCCAAATTTTGCTCACTGCAAATAACATTGCAATGAAAACATCATCTCCTTGGGACAAATTTCTAGATCCGGAATTACAGGGTGAAGGACATTTGAAATCTCTGTCAAAGAGCTTAAGAACTGTAGCAATTAGAATGCTACTAGATCTATATATAAAACTTTTACAACTTTACCAAAGTAAGCATTTTTAAATTTTATAAATGTTAATGAGTTACCTTTGTATAATTTAAATTTGTCTACTAAGCACTTAATTACTCAAAAGCTGACTATAAACAGCAGAGAGATTTGCAAACTACTTCCTATAGAAACGTAAAAAATTAAGTGTGTGTGTATATGCAGAAAACTAATAGCAATTAGTTCTGCTTTCAGGAGCAGTTCTAAAGGAGTTTACATCTTTACGTGAAATACATAACAAACACTTCAACACCGTTTATCCATTCACTTGAAGACCCACATTTGCTTTGATAAAACCGTCTGTCTGACAAGGAACTTGTGGGCAGTTTCTAGTCCCCTCACTTTTTAGACTTGCGAAAGGAAATGCCTTGGCTTCAAACAAGGATACCACAAGAAACGCCACTTAGTTAGCTCCTTCCTTAAACTTTACAGGTGCCCACCCTCGCAAGCAAAGGCGCACCTGGACGGAGAACATTCAGAGACGACAGAGCATTGGAAAAGGCGCCGCCAGCCTTGGGCTTTTCTTCCTCCTTCTCGCTTTCCATGTCCATTTCATCTTCACCATGCTCACTGATAACTACACCGTCTTCTTGGCTGGAGTCCTTGACATGTCCTGTTTTGTCCAAAGGTGGTTCATCTACAGTTTTGAAAAAATTAAAATGATTTAAAAACATCCATAAATTGAGGGACTTTTCATTCGATTATGGGTTTAACTCATTAAAGCTTGAACTATTGCCCGGCTGGGTGTGGCTCAGCGGTTGAGCATCAACCTAGGATCCAGGCGATCAAGGCTCAATTCCCGGACAGGGCACGTGCCTGGGTTGCGGGCTCGATCCCCAGTTGGGGGGCGTGCAGGAGGCAGCCAACCAATGACTCTCTTTATCATTGATGTTTCTATCTCTCTCTCTCTGAAATCAATCAATATTTAAAAAAAAAATAGCCACTTCCTTCTGCTCTCAACCCACACTAAACCAATGGCCNCAATATTTAAAAAAAAAAATAGCCACTTCCTTCTGCTCTCAACCCACACTAAACCAATGGCCTTTAATAGACAAAACAGCACTGCAAAAGGTCAACCGGATCAGATGTCAGAGAATGATTTCTGCGGATTTTAAAGGATTCAATGTTTCATTAAGTTCACAGGTATTTGCTTGTGATTGAGAAAGCACTAGTCCAAAACCCAGTGGCAGCTGAATTTTTATTAATGGTCAGGTATTATGCTTCTGGACATCTTTATAAAAAGAGGTGCTAAACGACCTTTTTCCAGGCTCCTCTTGTGCCCTCAGTTTTGCTTTTAGTACGCCCTCAGGAAACACTCCCGCAGACATGCTCACTACCGTGAACTGATCATGCTCCCCCCTCTTCAGCCGCAAACACTGAGGCTTCTGGCCCCAATGGTCTCTCTAGCTATTGCCCTCTCTCATCTGCCAACCTTCCAAAAGCAGTGGGGACCTGCTGCCTTCTCCTTCACTTCCTCACCGACGTGCCCATGTTTTCCCATCCAACCAAGTTCACCTGCAAACACGTGGCTGTAGCAACAGCTACTTCATACAGTATGGCTGAGCAACGTGCAAAATATTCCTTCCCCAAACCAGCAGAGAGCTTAGTTGGTGGAGCAGGCTCTTGACAGATGCCCCCCTCCAGAAAAAAACATGGCAGCCCTGACAACAGTCCTTCCTCGGACCACACTTCCCTTGACCTTCCAGTACCATGTCACACAACTGACCATCATCAGACTGAAAACTTCCCAGTCTTTTCTCCACCAGCCTATATGATCGTTGTCTCTCTTCCGCAAACCCTCTTCTCTGCATGCACGCCGACTACAGGCAGAGATCTTTGGTCCTCACGAGTTTTTCTTTATGCTGTGCCCTCATCAATTCCATTTACTTTTGGTTTTGCCATCTCAATAAACACCAAACCTAAACCTACATCTCCAACTGCTCACTGGCGACTCCACTCCAATTCAGTTTAAAAGTGCACTCATTATTTTAGGACAATCACAAAAACAGGTTTTCCAAATTGGCACTGCCCTTGTTTTGAAGGTAACGCATCTCTGCCTATCTCAGGAGGCTGGGTGGGAAGGGTTCAGGCCTGTGAGCAGGTTAACGAAAGGGCTCAAAGGCACCACCACATCAGGGAGGACAGCGACAACCTGCAACACAGCATCCCCTCTGGGGAGGGCACTAACCGAGTTACCTGGTGAGTTACGTGACAGTGGAAAGACAGGAGACGTCACAAACAACAGCTTCATAAAGTTCAACCTACTTAGATTTCTAAACCCAACAGTAAATGGTTCTTTCTCAGGTCTCACTTTTCCTGACCTTTTCTGTATTATTTCATTATACACAGTTGCTGGAAAAAATGAAGCCGTTTCCTAGACTCCCAAGTTAATCAGCCCCCCTAAAAATACTCCTCCTCCCACCTGCCATCTCTGTTCTGTATGTGATACATAATTATTGTGTCAGTCACCCTGGCACAGAAGCTCAAATTTGACTATTTGTTTTTTTTAATTTTATTTTTAGGAGAGGGGAGGACGACACATTGATGTGAGAAACAATCGGTTGCCTCCTATACATGCCCTGACTGGAGATCGAACCCACAACCTGGGTATGTGCCCTGACTGGTGATAGAACCCATCACCTTTTGGTGTACAGGACAACGCTCCAACCAACTGAGCCACCCAGCCAGGGCTTGACTATTTCTTTTAAATCCAAGAGCTAAAGCATGTCAATTCTTGGAGGGTTTCTCAATAAAGCTTTCTTTCCATTTCTTCTCTTACAACCACGGCAAACATTTTGAACTCATCCACGATTTCCCAGCGAGACAGGAAAAGCCATGTCTTGCTCAACTGAGATTTCTGATCCGCTAGTAACGGATAAAAGCCAACTCTTGGTTTAAAGCGCTTCAGGCCTCCAATCTTTCCCGGTGCCAATCCATGCTGCATGCTAACACCCGGTTAGGGTTTCCAAGGCATTCATCATGTCCCCATCTTGGCAAGCCAGTGAACACAGCAACCCTAAACCCCTACAGACTCTCAATATCCTTCACAATCTGTCAACAATGTACCTCTCACCCAAACCTCTACTTCCCCTACAAATCATAGGCTCTGGCCTGTCAGGGAACCTGTTCTTCTCCAGGGCAGCCTTCGTTCCTCTCATCTTTGATGATACCCTCACACCTTCCCTCTTCTCTCTTGGAATTTAAATTATCAAAGACCCAGCTTCTGATTCCACTATGTATGAAGCATTCCTTCTTTTAAAAAAGTATAGTTACTCTTTAAACAATTCATTGGACAGTTTGCCAAGTAGTGGATCCAATTATACACTTAAGTGATGCTGTCTCCAAAATTAGATTGAAAATTTGAGATACAGCGATACACTTTTTCACATGAAGCCTGTAGCTGAGAAACTGGGAAATAATGTCATCTTTAATTCCATAAAATAAAGACTTCCCTAGGGCATTTACATTAAGAATAAACTTGGACCATAACATAGTATAATGGATCCACTTTCCTAAAGACAAATTAACTGCTTAAAACATTTTAACTCAGGTTGTGAAAAAACCATGCATGCAGGCTGGGTCCTCACACTGAGAAGTCCTCAGCCACATGTGGATAGGGCTGTGGAGTGGGAACCAACACTGAACTTAGGGCATTCTAAACATTCTCCAAGAATTAAACCAACTGTAGAAGTACCACAAAAAAACAACAACAGAAAGCCAGTCTCTGTAACACACAAATACAGGAATTTGCACAGTGCTCCCTCAAAGAGGAACCAACCTGTGTCTCAGGCCAAGTGGGAAACCTTTCTCTGCTCAACAGCAGTCTGAACACTTGTAAGAAAATGGGCAGGATTTAGTCACTGCAGTAGGAAAATTCCAGGGGCTGTGACTTTCTCTTGTTAAAAAATGCATTTACATTGCAACTGTGTTAAAAATGACAGAACTGCCTGGCCGGGCGTGGCTCAGCGGTTAAGCATCGACCTAGGATCCAGGTGACTGCAGTTCAATTCTGAGTCAGGACACATACCCAGGGTTCAGGCTCGATCCCCAGTCGGGGGTGTGCAGGAGGCAGCCGATCAATGACTCTTTCATCACTGATGTTTCCATCTCTCTCTCTCTCCCTTCCACTCTCTGAAATCAGTAAAGATATATATATTTTTTAAATTAAAAATTAAAAAAAGAACAGAACTGTATTGCCACTTGGTTTGGACCCACGACAATGAGAGTCAACGGAGCAAGTCCACAATATATGTAGCAAATCCATTCAATCACACCAGAAGCCTTTCGGTTGGACATTTTGAAAGATTCCTGTTAGTTTGGTACTTACTGTCGGCTGACGAGTTGAGTTCTGTTTTAATCTTCGATTTTTCAAGATCTTCTTTATATTCCTTCTTAAGTAATTTTACTATCTTTTTGCTATAACTTGATTTCTTCACTTTGAAAACTTCTTCAGTTTCTTAAAAAGAAATTAAACAAAGCCTGTAGCAACCATTTTCAGACGGCCTTCCTTTCTAACTTTTACATGGTCTTATGTGCTTTTCAAATTCTTTCAAACATACCCGTACACCCCCCTAGTCAGCTTCATAAACTAATCTGGGATCATGTGCAGCAGAGACTTTTTAAAAAGGCATAACACATGTAAACTGCACAAAATTTTTTGATGTCCTATTGTCTCCTGCAAGTCATCTATTTCAAGAGAGAAAAAAGTCACTGGGAAAGGACTTAGCAAATGACTCCGGTACCTGAAACAAAATACCCAACATCAAAAGGTGCTGCTCCACAGAGCTGTCAAGTGTGAGGGACTAAAACCCATCACCAAGCGACACACTGTTATTTCAAGACTCGCCTGAGAACAAAACACTTCTCGGAAATAATTTCTGGCGACGTCTCTGTCGCCTTTGACCTGAAGGTTTTCAAATCAAACACAAACACTACCAATAGGCCCTGCATCTTCAAAAACAAAAACCTGGCTCTTCTTCTCTTGCACAAATTAAAAAAACAACAGGACGGCCAGAGAGAAGTGCCTGCCTCACTGGAAACACGAAAGGACCTCACATGAAGATGCGGGTGAGGTTTCCCAAAGTCTTAATTCCTTATTTGATAACACGGACTCAAAAGGGTTATATACACGCACAAAAAACATTAAAGGCTCCAGGACGATCAGAACCCTGAACGCGCTGCAGCCTGGCCTCTGCCCTCGGACTGGATAAACTGCCCGGAATGACCACCGCCCCGCCTCTCTCCGTCACCCGAAGGTCCAGGTACCCTAGTTTACTTTTACGGGGAAACTGAGGCTCGGAGATGGCAAGGGACGGGCACAAGGTGGCTCCGACTCCGAGCCCGAAGCTCAGGCCCAGCGCTGCAGCTTTTACGAGCCCGACCTCGAGGTTAAGGGGGTGCGGACGGGGCTCGCGGGACGTGCCACGTGCGGGCGGGGGACGCGCGTAAGCTGTCGCCGGAACGAGGCAGCGCGGGGCGCCAGGTGTCCCCGGGAAACCACCCCGGCGGACCTGGGCCCCGGCCCCAGACCACGAG